GCCTATGATTCCCTATTTACCACAAAATTCTAAATTAATGCTAATAACCATTCTAGACTTTATATAACAGCTTAGCAGAAAGGTATCTGATTTTCATAATTTTAATTAGCCAGGCCCGCGTAAAACGCGGGCATCCAGCTAGTTAAATAATAATTTTTTACATATATAGATGATAATCATTCAGCATTAAAATTTTTCATTAACTAAATTAGACAAATTTCTTTCACAAAATTAATTATTTCAATTTTTTTTCTTAAATATTTAGTGATCAGCTATTTTTTTTTTTCATCAGAAATAAAAAATGATCTGGTGCGTATCTGGTTGTTGCATTTTTTTAGACGTATACTAGCCATTTCTCTTTGCCTGCCTACTATTATTTCTACAAGAGATAATTTTAATTTCTTGTCTCATCCATCACAAAGTGAACGGAAGTTGGTAAGAAATTGAGTAGGTAACTTTTGAATTTCATTTGACATAATTTATACTTGCAAAAATTCTCAGCCTTGTTTGATTTATGATTAATTGGAGACGATCAAAACATCAGAAATATCAATAAGAAGAATGATCACTATAGTACTATTCATGAAAACCATTAAAACCATTCTATACAACATTTTTCTTTAGGCTTATTCATGCCACTTTTTAAAAAATCAAAAAAATTGAAATTTTATGTTCATAGATAATCAAAATATAATCTTTTCCTTTATTATATATAACATAATATTTAGTTAAAATATAGTATATACTAGGCAGTCTTGTACGACTCAAAAGAATAAATTTTAAAAAAAATTCATATACTAATAATCTGCTATTTTTACAATATACTTGCCAATATTTTTACCATTTAACATATCAACAAAAGTTTTTGCTATATTTTCAACTCCATCAATAACAGTCTCTTTATAAATAATTTTACCACTTTTAATCCATTCAATAATATCTTTTTCAAATTCTTTTTCAATATCTTTACCAAGATAATCCGTTACAAGAAATCCTTGGAATATTATGCTTTTGAGGACAATATTAATTAGGTTTTTCACTCCATATCTTTCTTCAGGATTTGTTATTTGGTACTGTGATATCATACCACAAGCCACAACACGCGCAAATCGATTACAATGTTCCAAAGCAACTTCAAGAGTTTTTCCACTATTTTAAAAAAAAAAGTATTAAAAAATTTTCATAATGAGATCATATTCATACAGATACATACCCAACGTTATCATAATAAATATCAATACCATTTGGACAATATTCGGATAATGCCTAAAAACATTATAAACAAAGTTAAATATAAAAATATAAAAAAATTCCATTTAAAAGTTAACTTGCTAAATACCTTATTAAGATCAATCTTTTTATAATTAAAAGCAGCATCAAATTTTAATTCATTCAAAAGAAAATCAACTTTTTCATCAGATCCGGTAGATCCAACAACTCTCAATCCTTTAATTTTGGCTATTTGACCAACGAGCTGTCCAATAAAACCAGCAGCGGTCTAAAATAATTGGTAAATTTTATTTTAAGCACCTTTTTAAAAAAAGAATGTAAGTAAATATAATTAAGAGAATTTATTATACATACCGAAATATAAATTGTTTCTCCCTCTTTTGGTTTTCCAATATCTATAAGAGATACATAAGATGTCAATCCACCCAATTTAAGAAAACTAGCGTGATAACTTAATGGTGTATCTTTCAATAATTCTTTATTTACGAGCATAAAAGAAGAAACGGAAGCATCATCGGGTTTGATATGAGAATATTCTTCCCAACCTAAGATTAGAACAAAAGAAAATAATAATTTAATTTCAATTTTCACAAAGATATTTTTACATATGTTTACATATTATTTACCAATAGCTCCATAGACGAGATCTCCAACTTTATAATTAGGATTATTTGTTTTTACAACTTCAGAAACTCCTATACTATTTACAACCTGTCCAGTTAATACCCCTTTACCATATTTCATAATGATTGATGTTGGGTCTTGTAAAGTAATACGAACATAAGGATCTATGGAAAAACATAAATTTCTTAAAATAAATTCATTTTCTTTCAAATTCAAACTTTCAATATCAATTGTACGATGAACCAATTCAAAATTTTCGTCTACTTCAGGAATACCAATTGGTTATGCCTTAAGAATAACTCCTTTATTTTTTTTAACTGTAATTTTCATTTTTTTTTTTTTTTTGATTTTTTAAAAAAAGTATGAACCAAAATTTGCATATTTATAGTAAAAAAATTCATTCAACTATGAAAGAATTTTCTTATTTTTAAATGGACATATACTTGAAGTTTAACACAAATAAACGGCGACAAAATAAAAGATAATATTCCTTTTTTTCGTTAACTCTTATTGTGCCTTATTGTATGAATAATGTACTATTTTCATTATCTTATTATGTGAATAATATAGTCTATTTTCGTCAAGTTGCGTGATTTGCTACTTGTAATTCGTGATATGGAAGATTTATAATGTTTCGTATATACCTGATTTTATTATTTTGTGCGATAGTTACACTGCGTAGGATGTGGCTTGTATAAATTAAAAATATATGTAACTTAGAAACCTTAGAGGCCTGCATTGACCCCTATTTTACAACCGGCCCGCTGGATCCGTGTCTGGAATTTTCGAGTTACGGTCACGTTTGTAGGCTTCTAACTTAGTTAAATAATCCATTAAGTAGAAGCTTTATAAAGTATTATTGACCTCATTTTATTAACAATTTTACTACATTTATAGTCATAAAATTTGTAAGAATAAAAACTAATTATATAACTATCCCCTTTAAACGGTAATTAAGGAAAATTGCCTGCAATTTTTTTTTCATTAGTAAAGTTTTTTATAAATTTACCCGAAATGTCAAATTATTCTGCAGGTGAAATAATCAACATGATGATCATCAAATGTATGGTTAGTTATTTGGCTAATCGGCTAATCATTAAAATAAAGTCGCCTGCAAATCAAACATTTCGGAATTTAGAAATCCCGAAATTTTTTTAATGTTTTGCATTTTTTCTCACACTTTCAACTTTTTATTTATTTATTTTATGAAACTAATGAAGAGATACATAGGCCCTATAAAAAGATTTTCTGGGAAAAACTCCGATAAATGATCATTTTTCTAGAAAACTCTGACATGTGATCTGAAAAATTTTTATTATAGGGAGTACAAGAAATTGAAGAAATCTTAGAGGCAAAGCCAGAGGTAGCGGTAGTGGTAGTGGTAAAGGAACAGCCATGGCAATGAAGATGAACAGATTACACAACTTCCGGCTCCACCTTTTAATATCCTATAACACTCTAAACCTTTACATGAATTTACCCTATGAATGCCAATTTAATTTTACCAACACCCTATTCCATTTTTAGTCTCTTTTTCTCATTAGAACAAATAAAAATAATTGTTAAAAATACCAATACTTATGATGGAAGTGAGGGAAAGATTTAACAATAAAGGAATTTAGAATATGGTTAGTGATAGTGATATATTTTAAATTACCCAGTATTCGGGATTATTAGAAACAAGAATAGTAGATACTCTAAAAGAAAATGACAATTAATAAAAATTTTTTATATTTTAAACTCGTTTGCACTTTTTTTATTAATTTTTCGAAAATTATTCAGTTTTTTAGGTCCTATGTAGGATTAAAATCCTACTTTTAAATCTCAAAGGTTCAAATAATAAATGTTGTTTGTCATGACTAATCTACATATTGTATTATGATACTTATATAGCTATAATTAAATCCTGATGAAAGCGTCGAAATTAATTGCAAAAATTTTTAAGATCGCGGTTGTTATTAAAAATGCTAACTTTTTAACTAATGATTAATTTTTCAAGTATATAATCAAAAAATAATGGTCACCCGTCATCATCATATAATATGTCGTTTAAACTGTTAGGGAAAATAAATAGCTTTATTTTTTAGAGGAATTAGGGCTGAATTTTTATTAAAATCGCAGGCAAATTTGCCTGCAACTGCTTACCGTTTAACAATTTCATACCGTTGTAAGACTTGTTACCGTCTTCCCTATGAAAAATTTTATCCGTAATTTCTGTAAAAACTCCATAAAAATATAAAAATGAGCCCTTCATGGATCCATCACGGAAAATGAAAATGATTCGATAAATACCGTGATATAATGTTATTAATTCCGGAAATATGATTCTTTTGCGGAAAAAAGATGGAATATAAAGAACGGATCGACTTTTTTTACAGGGCTTATAGACGTTTTCCACCACAAGCTACAAAGATAATCCTTTATTAATTATAACAAAATATTAATATATCCCGAGTTTCATACTAAATAAACTAAAATAACAAAAATCAAATAATTTGAATTGTGTAATATGAAACACATGATCTGCCGCGCCTCTGTTTGGGTTATTCATTGACGTTGATTACTAATGAATGTATTATTAATTTTTTTTTGGCTAGATTTTTTTTGATTAGATTTTTTTTTATAATATACTAAAAAAAATTCCCTGTATAACCTAACGTTTAGATTAGCCTGTATGAATTGTGATTTGTATACGCCTGAACTATTCCGTATCCATGTTGATTACTAATATAAAATATTTTAAATTATTTTTTAGTTTCCAGTAATTGAAGTTTTTCTAAGAATAATAAGTAATAGACAATTAAACTTATTAAGTTAATAAATTGTAAACAATATAGTAGCTCTTCTTTTTATGATTAGTAATATTTTTATTTTTATTTTTTCTTAACAATAGATCGGACTTTGCCCTTTCTTTATGTTCGGCAACTGACATTTACTAATATTAATTAGTAATAATTAGTTCCTTTATTTTATTTAATTTTATTATTTATTTTATTCTGAATCATTTATTTACTTTCAATTCTTCAAATTTCTAATTACAAATAAAATTAGTATTATATAAGTAACAAAATTTCTAAACATAATCAGAATTTTCTTTTCAATACATAATACTATAATATGCAATTAATATATATCCCGGCGCAGCGCGACGGATTCTCTCCTATTAATAATTTTACTAAACCATTAATAAAATAAATAATGTGGCACTTTTTCGTCATAAGAAAAAAGGCAAAAAAAATCGATTAATTAAAATAAGAATGTAATAATCTAATTAAAATCCTCCTATAAATCATTCGAATTTGAAGTATATTTGTATCTTCTGAAGTGATACTAATCCTAAATAAATCTCCCATTAAAATACCAATTAAAATATAATTTCCAAAATAAAGTATCGAACCAATAATTCAATGATCCTGGAATCAAATTTTTCTTCCAATATAAATTGAATTCGTTAATCATCGATAAATTCTACGCTATACTCTTTTGATTTTTTATCTTTTTCTTCATTTAATTCTTTTCTCAGATTCCTTTTCAAATCGTCTAACTCTGTTAATATCTTACTATTACATGACTCTATATTCATCTTAGTTTTCTTTAGAAAATTCTCCATAAACATTAAATCGATATACATTTTTTCATCCAATTTTCGTCTATTACTCAAATTTTTCATAAATTCATTCAATAGTTTCAATATATTAATATTGATCCCAAAATATATATCGCTTTCATTTTTTATCAAAATCAATCCTATTATTAAACTTCTCAATAGGATTTTATATTGTAACTTTAAATATAGTGTTCATTTTGATTTCTCATCTCTTATTATCCATTTTACCCTATATCCATAATCACGTTTCTCATTTTGTCTAATTTTATTCTTTATCTTTAAACAATCTATAATTAACCTAAATACATTCCGTCTATTTCCTATCCCACTCTCTTCAATAATACTATTTTCAAAATATTTATCCAATTTTCATTCGCACTAATTAAACTATCTATAATATCTATTCTAAAATTATAATGTTCGTTCATTTTATCTTCTATTACATAATTTTTAATCATTACATTCTTAAAAATTATATTTCTTAATGATTCATAAGGTTTAACGCACCAACCTTCAAAACGCTTTTTAATTATCCTACTTTCTTCGTTCGCAAATATATTAGACATTCACCTATTTCACCTTCTTTTATCTTTTTCTTACTTATATTTCGTTCACATACTTCACACTTAATTAAACTTGGTGATTCATCTATACTTCATCTTTGTTTCTTAGAATTAAATGACTTCTAATTCTTTTATAATTTTTGCTTTTTTTATTTTTCTTGTCTACACCAAACATTGGGCGTCCCTTTTCATCATTCCACGTGACAATGTTATTATTATTTACTTTTTCGTCTTCGTCAAAAAGCTTTAAATGAATATTCTTTTTATCGAGATTTCTATTTATATATTTCTCTTTTATTCATCTCGACTTTTTATCTTCTAAAACTTCTTTTTCTAAATCCGTAAACCACTTTGGCACCTTTCCTTTAAAACTTAATCCCTTTTCTGTACAGAAATGTTTCTACTTCATTAAATGTTCTTTATCACTTTCTAGTACTTGTTCTAAAAATAATACTCCTTTTGTTCTTCTTGATTGTGCACTTTTTAATATTTCTTTTTTACTCATAAGATCAATAACTTCTACATTTCCTCCTTTAATTTTATGATTTACATCTTTATCTACAATTTCATGTATACATATACTCATGTCTCCCGATTTTAACAAATTAATTGCGTCTCTTATCCAGCAATTTACTCCTTTATAAATATTTCTCCTATACATTTTGCAGTCCAAATTCTTTTGTCCTTGCATCATTTTTATTTTAAATAATCTCCTCAATTTTTCGTTACCGTTTGCTTGATAAATTATATTCTTACTTATACTTTCTAATTGTAAATCATATATTATTTTCAGTCCATAAATTTCTTTTTCATAAATTATGAAATTTGGTGTCGATCTTGATAAATTTGCACATCTTTTCACCAAACAATTAATTCTTTGCATCAAAAATTCGCATTCCTCTTTACTCAATACTATTGCTTGTAATTGGTATTCTATTCTTGGAATTACCACCATATTTCAAACAGCTATTATTTGTTTTTCGTTTAAATTTTTCCATGCAAAAATTTTAACATGCTTTATCAATTATTGTCTTGATCTTTTTCTTAAAATTTTTCCTTCGATTATCGTATCTAAACCAAATTCCAAGATATCTATTACCTTCTTCGTGATTCATTTTCTCTATTTTTGTACCGTCTATCTCTAAATCCTTATCCTTATAATAATTTTTTTCAATTCGTACTTTTATACATTAGCTTTGATGTCATTTATCTGAAAAAATTCATGACAAATTCTGACCATTTTTTCTTCAAAGTCGTATCATCCATAAATGCTGTTACATTAAATTTTATCGATACTTCCTCTTCCCAATTGTCATTAATATTATTGATAGGTGTAGTGGAAAAATCTTACCACACTACGGTGACTGCTGCGTTCGCGTTGCTTAATTTATATCGTGACATTTTTTGAATGGCCTGATCTTTATTTGTCACACCACCCATTGAGTGTTATAAATGTCACCATAAACGTATCTATATAGTGGCATCTTATTTCTAGCACCAAGCCGCCACCGCAGCTGTCTTTAAAGGTCAAAAATTACTCAGACTTTTTCATATGGCCACCTTCTTACTTCATAACAAATTTGCAAAGAGCACTATATTAGTTTTAACTTTTAACTCTTCTATAGCTAATGATCGACAAGAAAGTTGTGTTACCGAATAATGACGGTAATAAAGAGACGAATGGCGGATGACTTATATCGTATAACTAACTACACGGATACCAACGAAATTCTTACTCAATACTACCTATCCAAGGTATTTCCGGTATTGTTCGTTAAGAATCGTCAAGGTAAACAACTATAAAATACGATTAGTAGTAATACGCGATATATAAGACAAATCTTATATAAATATATATAGAAACAATGTATAATAACCAAAATGTAACGATTTTATTTAAATAGAAGGGGAACTTTCGGTTTACAACAAAGCGAATAAAGGTAATAGGGGAAAATTCTCTAGAACAACTATATATGTCTCCTCCTTTTTATAATGGAGTTAGTAGAGGCGTATTTATATCTTATTAGGACCCCGAAATATATATGTAGAGGTCAGGTCCAGAAGTGGTCCAAAATACGCATTCTTTCAGGGCCGGAATTACGATAATTTCAGCCATTATCTAAATTAGGAAATATTATTTTGGCTGGGATTATCCATAAAAGGAATGATCTACATGATTTTTTTGACTCATTATACGCAAACTCTGACCTGACCCTTTTATGTATATTTCGGGGTCCTATCTTATTGCCATCTCTTTTTCTAACAATCAAGGGCGAAATCTAATCTAATAATGTTTAATCGTCAATGTTTCATCTCAATATATTACAATAGCGATAATTTTTATTGTAAGCCACCTTTTTAATAGAACACAAACGATAATTTTAGACAATTAATATTATTGAACTAATTTTCACACAATTATCTTCAAATAAATTCAATAAAATTGTTACATATAAATAATACAAATAAAGAAAATAAATGATATAACTAATAATAAATAAATAAATTAAAATAGATATAAAAACGATATATAAGTAAAATATCAAATAAAATCAATATCTTTAATATAGTTAAACTATACATCGGCGTAAATCGTCTCGTAACACCGGAAATCGACATGTACACAAATGTACCGAAATTTCATCGGATCATCATGTAAGATCGGAAATCACGTGCGCAAAAATTCGCGTAACAGTTGTAATCAACATTTCGGATGCTTTAACGGTTCCTGTTATCTCATTTATCTGGCTGAAAATTGGTATCTGCATTTTGCATAGATAATATTACACAAACAACCATATATACTCGAATAAAGGCGTTTAATTGTATTTACCCAAAAATAAAATTATTCAGTAATGGCTCAAAGTAACGACGAAGGTAAAAGCATATAATATGAATATAGATATCTAATACAAATTGAAATTGCTCTAAATTTTTTTTCAAACCAAATTTGCAACATAGTGGACCTATTTTTAAAAATAGAAAAAAATAAAGGTAAGAAAATTATTTAACAGCTTGTAAATTATAAACATATAATTTAAATTTTTTAAACTATTTTAAAAATTATTTTTACTATATTAGCTCGTAAGTAATAGGCTGTCTTATAATCAGAATGATAATTAATTACTTAAATTACTTATTTCTATTATTTTATATAACCAAATAATTTATTTTATTATTATAGTTGGTAAGTTAATAGTTATTTTTTTTCATTGAATTTTGCATAATATTTAATAACAAAATTTTCTATTAATATAATTGTTTAATAATTATGGTACTAATATTATAGAAAGTAAGTATTTATTTTATATTTATTTAAAAGTATTTATATATAATTTAAACTAATAATATTTATTTAAATAATTAGATTGTAAGTTACTGTATATACTTAATTTTTATATACAATTATAATATTTTATCTAATTGGTTATAATTACTTTACTTTATAATTATTATTAATTAATAATGCTACAGGGTGTAAATTATTTATTTAATCTATTATATTTATATAATGCTTATATATAATTTAAACTACTAACTAAATTCTTTATTTAAAATTATTTATCCAATAATATGGGCGTGCGTCAGTTAAAAAGGGGGAAATCTACCTCAAAACCAAATTTGAGGTTTTTGGCTTATATTGTGTAAACCATCAATGTACACTATTTTCACTTAATATTGTATGCCGATAAGCATAATAAATTATCGAAATAAAATCAAATAACTGAAATATGCTATAGGGACGATCATTTGATTATTTGACGATCATTGAC